GGCGACGCTGGTTCGGGCGTCCCCCTGTCGCCTCCTTCGGGAGGAGGCGACTTCGATGGAAGCAGCAGCGGCAGCGGCAGTAGCAGCGACCGCAGCTGCGNGCTGGGCGAGCGACGCTGCCGGTGCAAGAGAAGGCGCCGGCGGCACCCGACAACGGGACCGGCGACGCTGGTTCGGGCGTCCCCCTGTCGCCTCCTTCGGGAGGAGGCGNCCCGCCGGGCCGCGAAGGGCGTCGGCTCCTCTGGGGCGCCTCGAAGGAAGGACCGCTGCGCCACGGGCTCGAGCGCGGCCGCACACGAAGGGAGACCCGGGAGCTGCAAGGCCCCGAGGAGCCGCCGGGTCCAGACGCCGAGCCAGACGCCGAGCAAGCGCTGCTGGCGGAGATCATCGTGGACTACGTTTCCAACTCGCTGGTGCGGGAGCGGTACGACGAGGAGCAGGTCAACATCGAGTACCGGCGTGAGATGCATGAGCTGCCGTACGGCACCGAGCAGCAGGAGGAGGCGTTCGGTGCAGAGGCAGGAGACGACAGGTCATCGCAACCTCTTCATGACCCGCAGCTAAGGCCGAAGAGAGACGACGAGTCCTCGGTGGACAAGCCCGTGAGGGAAGCGATCGGATGCCTGATGTGGTTGCTGTTCACGAGGCCGGACATCGCGCTGCCTTTGAACAAGCTGCAGAAGATCGCCCACTCACCCACCGAGAGGATGTGGAACGCGCTTGTGCGGATCATGTCCTACCTCAACGAGACGAAGGACCTCGGGATCACCTACGTCCGCGGATCAGGGCTAGACCTAGACGTGTTCGTCGATTCTAGTTACGCCGACAGCACCGTTGACAGGCGTTCGACGACGGGGCTAGCCGTGACTGTAGGTGGGACCGTAGTGTGCGCATCCACGAAGACACAGCCAGTGACGGCTCAGTCGACCACGGAGGCAGAGTATATTGCAGCCGGGGAGGGCGTGAAGGAAGCGTTGTTCGTGCGTGGTGTTCTGTCGTTCATTGCCCCCGAGACGAGCGGTACCACGATGAGGGTCCGTGAGGACAACGAGGGGGCTCTCGCGTTGGTGCAGAACCCTTTCAGCTCGGCGAGGAGCAAGCATATCGACGTNGGGGAGGGCGTGAAGGAAGCGTTGTTCGTGCGTGGTGTTCTGTCGTTCATTGCGCCCGAGACGAGCGGTGCCACGATCAGGGTCCGTGAGGACAACGAGGGGGCTCTCGCGTTGGTGCAGAACCCTTTCAGCTCGGCGAGGAGCAAGCATATCGACGTGCGGTTCCACTTCATCCGCGAGCTCTTCAAGGCGGGCAAGATCACCGCAGATGATGTCTCGACAGAAGAGCAGCACGCCGGTATGCTGACCAAGGTCCTTGGTAGGGGCAAGTTGGAGTACCACCGGAAGGCTCTGATGAACCTGCCGATGTAGGGTTCTGGTCTCGTTTTCGTGGCGTTTGTTTTGTTTTGTTCTAGCACTGGGCGCGTCTCGGACCATGGTATGTCACGCAGGAAGCGTTGGGCAAGGGCGTCACCCGCGGCGGGAGCTTGGGGTTTTTGACCAATTGCTTCGGGTGTGTAATCAGCGTGGCCTGTCCAATCTGTCCTGCCTTGGTCCTGCCCTGATAGTGCGGCCGTTGGAATCCTTCGTGATAGCGACGGTTTCTTTTATGTCTTGAGTTTGTAGGCGAGGGTTTTTGATCCGGATGGCCGAGTTTTTCCCTTGCACCCGTTGTTGTATGAGTAACTTAAGTAGATCTGGAGTATCCATGCCCCACTGATGGTTTGTCAATAGCTTGACGAACCGGGGAGGGTGTTCGTGTGTCTGGATACGAGCATGGTAGATCTGCTAGCAGCACGGGGGGGTACGTAGACAGGAGCATGCGTATGCCTGAAAAAGGCTACTATGTGTGGGCCCCCTTCCCCGAATTCGGGAGGGCCACTTCTTCCCTTCCTTTCCTCGCTCCCGCGGGTGCCTAATCAGAGAGAGTTAAAGCGTGTCTTCTCCTCCCAAGTACGGACATACCAACAGGATTCACCACCGTTCGAGGGGGATATGGCCTTGCGAAGTTGGCGAACGAGGTACAAGTATGACATACAAGTCAACATGGCCACAGCGCTGCAATGTAGTACTACCGATGACCATGGCCAACAGCAATAAATAATACCGTCAGCAACAACGGCAATAAAAACACAACAACGAAAGCCAACGATCTTAGCAAACTGAAAAACGAAATCGGTGATGAAGGATTTGAGCGGAGCTAGGTTCGCAAAGTGCCAGGGAATGCAGAGCAAAATATTCTTTTGAAATCGAGCTCGATTCAAGGGAAATACAGCCAAAACAACAGAGGGTAAACTCGAGAAAAAAAGTGAATGAAGGCTTCATAAAAAAAAAAACAGATTTNGTAAACTCGAGAAAAAAAGTGAATGAAGGCTTCCATCTAAAAAAATCCAGATTGCCCTACCCATGGTGGCTGAGCCAAAACATGTGTGTGTTGAGGAGTGAAGTTTGGGGGTAGAATGAAGTCGGGAACATCTCGCGACCCTCGTAAATGGTAAACGATTCTAGCGCCTGTCATGTTTGGTCTGTACCGTTTTTGACGCTGTTGAGAGGTTGAGGTTGAATCTAGAAAATCTGTAGATGGGTGCGTGAATGTGTCCGGAAGTTGGTGTTGAGGCCACAAACCAACCGTAGATTTGAGATTGTGCCGTCTAAAAGTAACTCTAGAATATAGATAACTTTGCCTTGGCCCCGCCACGAATGACTCGAGTTTGGTGGTGGATGACCTCCGGATTCCCTACGGTGGATGATGATTTTGTCTCCACT